GCTTTGAATATGTGGATTACATTGTGTACAGTAAATAACAATTATTAATTGCTAATTTCAAGGTGTCATAACTACACGTTTTACAGCAACATGATATACAAAATCTGAAATAGTCTGATTACTTTTGCTAGCCACTGTACTTGGCTATTACTTGGTTTGTTACTTGTCTGAGACAAGTAGGGAATCTGCCCTCCCCAACTGTGACCTCTCCACACCAGTTTGTTCATGGAATTTGTGAAAGCTCCCCTTGGGCATAATCACTAGAAAAAAACACAGGAAAATTGACTTTAAAGATAACAATCATTGCCATAGAGCAATTGTCGATGTAGTATAATTTGGATTGTTTTGCATGGCATAAAATAGATTTATGAAATGTAATCCCAAGTGCTAATACTTTCATGACTTGTCTGGTTCAGTTTAAGCACTAGCAGACAGAAAAAATAGAGACTGAGTATGCATATAATAAGGGCAATCAGCTACAGTATAATAAAAATAAATACACCACTATTGTTATGTTTGCAGCACCTATTTTTAATAAAGTTCACATTTATTGTTTATTTAAATTTAAAGTGTATTTCTAATATTATCTGCATTGCTGTTGTTCACTATTACTTTTTGGGTTGTATTTCTGTTTTGTCAGTCTAATTCAGGAGTAGTCAACCTGAACATCAGGTTCTTTTACATATGAAGTCTTTACTCTAGTTATTTCTAAAGTACAGAAATGATCTTTAGCATCTGGGCCAACTAAGAAATAAATGATCAATTCTCTAATTAATTTATTGGAAGATTTAAATTCCTGCAGTGCTGTGGAATTGTAATGCATGAGCTCCTACCAACTTTATGAACAACTTTATTGTTATTTATTTACAGACCTAACAATTGAGTAATGTGGTCATGTGTTTATTTTTTATATTTATTGGTACTGTTATTGTTTTCCCTGAAGGTCAGCTATGAAAGGGGAAACAACAAAAAGGCTATTTTCACTGTTGTCTGAGTTTATCAAGGCCTACCCAGAAACGATCAATTCACTTTCATCATCTTGGCTAAGGTGCAAAGCCAAGGCATGAAAATGGCTAGAAAGAGTTTTTTTTTCAAAGGGGGGAGAGGGGTGGTAATCAGATGCGGTATTGATTAGGACAAAATAGACTTTATACATCATTCATGGTCTCTATCAATCTCTCCCAGCAAGTTTCCCAAAGCTGTTAGTTTTGGAGGTTAAATTACAAAAAAAAAAAAAAACATAGCAGAGCAATACTTAGTGAAAGCAGATTCTTTTGGTACTTTTACATCTTTTACAAGCTTGTCCAGCACAGTGACTGTAGAAATAACTGGAGGAACTGATCATGTTTCTTTGTGAAACATTTTGAGACTTTGTGTAGAGCTAAGTTAATTTGTTTCATGCACCTAAGTAAGTGACAGTCGAATGCCAGAATTACTGATCAATTAATTGTTTGATTTGTTTGATGCTACAACTTCTCAATTTATGTCTAAATTAACAGCATACTGATATATGAAATTCTCATACAATGCATAAAATAGAGCACAAAAACAAAGTCACTCTGCAAAATCTCTTTTAAAAGGAATAACTAACTGCAGCTGCATGTTTTCAGCTGCATGAACACACAGATCAGGTTGTTGATTCAGGGGTGAAAGAATTCAGGGCTTTGTGTGGGAATCATTTCATTAATTCAACAGTTGCTCTTTATCCTTTTGTTTCAAATACATTGCATGAATTACCCAGATAGAAACTTGAGAGGCTGTTAAGAATAAAAAGAGAAAAAAAAACAGGAAACATGAACATGACACAGGAAAATGCATTGAATGCTGGGAATTATTTGTTTGCCACATTTCCTGTATGGCAATTACAATGGTGCAACCATGTCTTGGAACCCAGACAACACAATAGCCTGGAGCAGATACTTGGTGATAATAGCTTTCTCACACAGAAATGCTGGGTAAGAAAAACTTGCTTTGCTGTTGAAATTCTCTCTTCGCTGTTGAATTTTTCAGAAAGCTGCTCTTCTGATGCTTACATGAAATGAGTAGAACTAAAATGCAGTAAATGCTTGTGTGTGCATTTTTTTTCTATATGGCATTTGAGGCCAGTCATTTAATCAGGGAGAGGAATACCTCTTACTGTAAGAATTGGAACTGTCCACATCTTCACAGTGCACTTTACAGGAGTACTTTATGGTGTGCTGTGAAATATTGAAGCAGTCAGCATGGTACGAGGAAAGCTAGGCCAAGGCCTGGGCTGAAATGAAACTCTAGACAGTAAACACAATTCATGTCACTTCTCATAGCAAATAAGGAATACTCCGCAATATATATTCAGACTGATCTTTAAAAAAAAAAAGCTAAAAAAAAGTATTTCAGCTACCTTATATATTTTTGTACCCACCTCCAAGTAGACAGCCAGTTAACTCACTGGCAAACCCGCGATGAATTCGCAGTCCTTAAAAAGCTTTTCAGCATTGAACCAATAGGCAATGCTTAGTTTATTCTAGACTAATTTAGATTGGCATCAGCTGTGGCAGTGAAGTTATGTGTTACTTATTATGTAATAAATAATAACCACTTAGCTTTTCTTGGATCAATCAACTACTAACTAATAAAACAGGCCAGATGGGCTGAATGTCCTCTTCTTGTCTTGAACTTTTCTTATGTTCCTATGATGCCTGCTCAATCTACTGCACATGTTTGGGGTGTCACAGTTCTCACACACACAAGACAGTTTTGTTATATAGAGCAACTGTCTCACAAATGTAAGCATTCCTCCATTTAACATAGAATAGAAAGAGATCAAAAAGCCACATCTTCTCAACAGTACATAGTTCTACAATCAGAAGCTTAAATTCACACCTACAGGAGCATTAGAAGCTCAGTTTACAGAGATTGGTGTCACGCCCTCAGTAGCCAGAGGGCGCTCCTTCTCTGTCCTGTCTCTCATTTCCGGCTCTTTGCTGTCCTTCCGGTGTTTCTCTCTCTGGGACTATATATTTCCGGGTCTTTCAGTCTGCCTTTGCTCAGCATTGACGTTCGGATGTCCTGAGACCCGCCTAGCACCAGGTTGCCCCACGTCCGCTACCTGAGGGCATAGGTTTCTATACGGCATTCCCTGAACAGCTGAGCCTGGGCTAACTCTCGCTGCTCTGCATAGGGTCTTTTCGCTCTCCTGTCATTCTACGGTTCGTCCTTTCCGACATCTGTGACAATTGTGTGATTGTTGATGGGTCACTGTTGTCACCCTACAGGACTACAGCTATTCAAAGTCACCTGTGTAATGCACACCGAAAAAGACCAAACCTGAAACCTGAAAAGCTCCACAGCTGAAATGTTGTGTTTCTTTCCTTTTCTTTCCAGCAGGGAACAAACTTTTACTTATTTCTAAAAAAAAGTCCACAGTCCACTCCCACTGAGATAAGCATAATTTTAATTTCAGTAGTTCTGTTAGATCCTAATGAATGAAATAGGGCTGAAATGTGCAGAAGATACTGTATTTGACCTGACTCACCTACAGTAGCTGAGGCCATGGCTGCCCAACCTTCTCCCACACAATTGTGAGGGGTGAGCTAGACAGAGTGGGGAGTGTGCACAATTAGGATTTACCCTTCCTCCCGGACTCCTCTGTAATAAACTCTATATAATGGATATAATAATGTTTAGGTCCATTTTAATATGTTTGTTGCGCCACAGAAATTTGTAACCGGACCTTCTCATCAGGCTTCTTGGAAATATGTTCAATAAACAATTAATTTGAGGCCAGTGGACACTACTGTACAAATGAACAGGAGTATTTTGTGATGGAGATTTGATTAATCTGATTTTTGTTGTGGGTATTGTTTGTAACTTGTGTAGCTTGTGTATTTCAATCAGGTACACTTTAACAGATCCTTTTCAAAGACACATTGATACTGTATATAATGGCCTATACAGAAAATCACCTTTTGGGAATTTATGCCTTGCTCGTATACAGTTAACTTCAACACACATTCTATGCAAAGTGTAAGAAGCAAGCAGACATGATGCTGAATGCACGAACAATGTTGTCTGATTCGATGCTATGGCTTTCAATGCTACAGATCTTACAGCTTGTCTGATGTAATGTGGGTAGATGATATTTAGAATTCCTTGATTTCTCTTCCTTGAAAATTAAAACTCAATCTTTTAGGAACTGCAATTAATTAAAAATCTATTCAGTGGTTTAGAGTAAGTACAATGATTGTGCATTGCCAATATTTCAAGTTCATGCAAATTGATAGCCTCAAGGGTAGTAATACATTCATTTAATATACTGCACATTACCACCATATGAAATCTAAAATGGAACCAGGGGCTAAAACACTGAGTTTTGCATTAAATATCTTGTCAAAGCCAATGTGGGAAAGCAATGAGTGTGGAGGATTCTTTTTAAATCTTTGTTCGTAGGGTATGGTACTTCCTTTCAGAAGGCGCACTCTTTGGAGATAACACAGTGAAATTGAATTTTTATACATGGGTACGTAAATGAGACTTTGTGGGGATGTGTGTTATACTAGTGTAAAGGAACCTACCCACTAAATTCTTCCTCTTTCCCTCCAGGGTCTTTTGTTTCTAAAAAGCACACAGAAGCACCGCCTTTTCACAGTGTTTACCAGTTTTTGTCTGCTGTTCTGGTTAACCACAATGTAGCACTGAAGTACAGAAAAATTGGGAGAAGGATGTTTAGTAGCAGATTATAGCTGTTACTAATTAGGGGTTAAAAACAAGTCGTTAAAGCAATTCGGACTGTTTGTATGTTCCCAGTTCACTCCCTGTGATACCATTTTTTATGGATGGTTCAAATTGTTCTGAGCCAGATTTAAAATAACAAAAGACAACTACTGTTGTTGCTGTTGGAATGACTTATATTCCATGTTCACTTTCCATTAACAGTTTTGTTCTTCATTTTTGCTTTGTGCTTTGCAGGTAGACTATTAGAAGCTAAAAAAAGAAAGAAATGCTTTGTGAATACAAAAATGAATGAAGACATGCCATATTAAAAAAACAAGAAAACTGGACAACATTTTAATTGATTTTAATTGCTATTTATAGCACAAGTATCTGGGCTGTAAGTATCTGCAATGGCTTCTAGCTGCTGCATTTGTTTTCAAAAAGCAATAAAAACAATTTAATTGTTAAATCCTACCCCATTAAAAATACAATTGCTGTACATTACCTAACTAACCACAGCCAACTTACATTTGAATTAATTGAGTCTACGTAAATATGAAAAACAGAATTAACTAATGTTGAACAACAACAAGCCCTGTTTAGTAAAATGGCATTTTTCAGGTAAAATACAGCACATGCTAATAAAATAACTTGAATTGATCTTCCAAAATTTTATTTTCTGATATAATAGCAACTAATGTTAACTATATTTGGTTTGTTTTTTCAGCTTGATTCTTTTTAATACAAGCGTCATGTGCAGCAGTTTCTTCTAGAATCCATCTGTGTTCTTTCTAAGTGCTCTATCCAGTGCAGGGTCATAGGGGAGCTGAAGCCTATCCCAACAAAAAGGCAGGATAAGCCCTGGACAATATGCCAGTCCATCGCAGGGTAAGCACAGACTTGGCAACACACTTTTCCCAATTTTCCCAAAAACCAACTAACACCTCAGACTGTGGGAGGAAACTGGGACCGGGAGAGCATACAAACTCCACAAAGACCACACCCAAAGAAATTTAACCCAGTGTCCTAGAGCTGAGAGGCCGCAATGCTAACCACTGGGCTATGGGATGCCTCTTGAAGAATCACTTTTGACTAAGATAGTAAGGCAGTCTGTCCCCGTCACTCAAAAGACTATATTTAAATGATATCAATTGTATCTTAAATTGTTTTTTTTAACATTGTAACTGAAATATTTCAGTACCTTTCAGGATTTGAAAGGAAAAGCTTTAACATGTCCGTGGAAGTCCACCTAATTAAAGACAGGAATTAACCTTGTTGCCCTTTTTAAACTGATTGCAATTAATGCACCTCCTGCCCTATAAAATGTACTGGTTTCCATTTAATCTTCCAGAAGAATTCCATGGTTAAAGTGTTAATATTTTAGTACTCATCTTCTATGAAACTAGTTCAAATCTAAAAAACACAGTTACCACTTTCTTGGAAGCGTGTCTGGGGTCATAATATTCTGTGAAGTTGTGGCCACACAACATCTTTTCAAATGGGAATACATACTGGCTTGCAATTGTGGACTAATACTTTCTACTTTTTTCCTTGCTGAAGGTCAACAACACAATTTCTAAAAGCCCCATTCTTTTCAAATTACATGTGTGGAACAGTTACCAGTACAAAGAGAGAAATAAAAAATTGTTCTCTGAGTATTTGTGGTTACAGTGGCTTGATTTCATGTGCACAAATAATCTCTTTCTTCTATATAAAATATATACAAGATGCATGTCATGGGTAAACCTGTAGTTAACTACAGTATGTGGGTTATTTCAAATAATATAATAAATTATAGTGACATCTACTGTATATACGAAAATGACCAAAGGAAAAGAAAAACATGCTTTTCCAATGTACAGTATATGTGCAATACTCAGTAAACAAGTGTACAGCTCTATGGCATATAAATTTAACATTCACTATTATTGCAATTATATAATATATATAATTATATATATTTATATTAAATGTGTACAGTCTATTAACATTCTCAATCTTTTTCATCATGTTTAGGCATTTTAAACATTTAGTTATGGTTCATACTTACATAACTTATGTTCTTCCATCTCAAGCTGAAGCAGCTTTTCTGTTGCACCCAGCTTAAATTTTGACTAGACTAAAACTGTACACATAAACCTGTTACTTTCTTTGATATTTTTATTTTTAATAGTTAAAACGTGAACACAATTTCATTAACACGAAACCTACACAGAACTAAAAAATATAGCCTACTTTTATTGGAACTGAAATTGTCTACATTCAGATTTTCCAGTGAGCTGGAATATAGAATATGGACTGTGGCCTTTTTCTGAGATTTCTGGAGATTTTCCTGACACTCAGATCTGTGTTTGAGGCTGTATGAGCTGAGCTTTGTGTACCACACCAGTTCAGCCAGGGGAAATTGGAAAAGGTTAGCCTCACCTGGCTTCAAATTGTTTCATTAAATACGAAGAGCTGGGGTGCCTTCCAGGGATTTCGTTTCTTGTTTGTCATCTCCCCCCGCCCCCTTTTAAATGACACTAAATGGAGAATACAAACAGATGATGCCATGGCCTTTCCCAGATGGACATAATGGCTATGCTGTTGATTTTTTTTTTTCTTGGAGTATTCCCATAAGTGAAATGGCAATCGTCCCCATAATGGGGTTATTCTTCTGTCCAGAACCCAGAACGGTGGGAAAAAAAAAGGTTGGAATCAGCTCTCTCCCTGTCTCTCTCATGGTCACAATAGATTGTCCTTTTTTCTCCCCCCTCATTCATATATATTGTATTATAAACTGGTGGTGGTTGCCATGGTAATCGGGAGTCAGCAGATCTCATTACTGGGCCCAGCCACATTATTTTCTCTAAGGAATTACTTCTTTTCATTATTTTTTCTCCAAAGGTCAGATGTCCTCCGAGGCGGGGCGAGAGAAATCTGCAAAAGGTGAAGTCTATTCATGGTTGAATTCCCCTGGCGCGTTTTCACAATAATTTTGTTCTTTTCTTTAATGAAATAAAAGAGAAAAAAAAAACTTCTAGTCACCTTCTTTTTCTTTCTTTCTTTCTTGCCATATATGAAAAACTCCCAGAATCCCGTGGCCCTTCATAGGACACTGACATTTTGGATCTTGCTGGATCCAGTTCTTGCTTCTCTCTTTATTGTTGTTGTTGATTGACACTGACCTCACCAGGGACGGACTTCATTGCCATCGATTTAATCTGCATTTTCATCGGCAATATGCCGCAGCCTGGCAGATATTCATTGCAAAGCCAAATGCAAATGATACCTTTTGTGTAACTTCTCATCAAGTGTCCCATCCCGCTTATGAAGCAGTCAGCTTATAATGTAGTACAGAGAATGTACTATAGCAACATTGAAAACATGACAGAAGTCCATCCCACCAGCTTAGCTAGAGACAGGAAAAATGATTTGAGGTTTGCTTTTAATGATTTGTTTGCAGTTAGAAGTAGTCAAGCTGAAAATGTGACTTTTTGGTCCTTAAAAACAGAAAGACTACTAATAAATCACATCATGGCTTTGGAAATATTGAGGTCAGAATGATCCCTTATATTTTACATACTGTATTATGATAAGCAGGACTATTTACAACAGAATGCATTTTCTTTATGCAGTGTAATAAATAGAAATCAGAATCAATTTGGGTGGCCTGATTTATTTGAAGCTATAACCTGTAGCACTGGTTAATTTTAAAAATGCATTAGGTCCATTAGCGCCAATCAGATTGTCAGTAGCTTGTGGATTTGAATTCCTGGAGTGGTGCAATCAAATTAAGCAAACTATTTATCTGATTAATTGATTAACTGAAACAGCTTAACACATCTAACCAGGCCAGGGGTTTAACAGTTTTACAGTTCAGGTTGGATCCAGATAACCATTTTGCCTTTTGGGAGACTGGATTTGACAGCACAGTTTACAGGCAAGAAACTCAAAACTTTTCATTTATCTGCATGAATCCCAGGGAATAGGCAAGCATAAAATGATTTGCAAGTATGTTCTGCAGATTACAGCATTGTGTCTTAAGAAGTGCTGTTTGAATTCTGTTCTCATAGTTTTATGAATAATCTCTTCAGCCTCAAATGGAGGAGATTAAGAACACAGAAGTTCTAAAATTGTTCGCTGGGAGGCAAAATATTTGTATTTACACTTGGTTAGCTCAGAGTGTACAAATGTTGCTTTCGGTCACCTATTCTGCAAGAGCTGTGACTGTGCTCTTGGCTTGTCTTTATCATTGCTAATGTGATTCAAGGGCATTTAAAAGTACAGTGTGAAATCAGCATTGCAAACACAGGAGTAGTTTGCAAAATGCATCTCATTAAGCCTTTAATTACCTTAATGAGCCTTGATCAGTGTGTATTTTCAAAATCTCACACACAATTGGTTGCAAAATTGATTAAGGGCATGTAAATTAATTCTCTGTCTTTAGGAAATATATAAAAAAGTATGACCTGATTGCACTGGCACACTGGGTTCCAGATCCACTATACCTATTTCTGAATGGCAAGTGAAAGCATCCAGGATTGACTTTTGAGCACCAATGGACGAGGATGCCGAGTAAAATCACAGAGAATTGATGCAAAAATAAGATGCTAAATTGAGCAGAATAAGTGGCACCAGCAAAGGGATCACCTTATTAAAAACCCATAAAAAGCAAAGGAAAGGGATTGCATTCATTGCAAGGGAAAGACTCCCTTAAAATGGTGAATATTAATTGTTGATGCTTCATCACTCTAAGTTACTAAACTTAAGCAATAAGAGAAACATACCAACATGTTCATATGTACACCCATGTGTTTTCATATATATGTGCATTGAAAATCCCAGTCGTGTAAAAATAAAGCATAAAAAGTAATGTAAACATTTTCTGCATTTCTACACTGCTTCCTTTAAGGACTTCTCCTTTAACTGCAGTACAGGGTATTTATTTATGAAAATCAACTAAAGGTATTTGCCTTATTTAAATGTTTTAATGGATTATTTGGGTTACATTATACTACTGTACGTGTCTCTCTTAAATTGAGAGTTTGATGAGTTATCAATAACTATAACAATATAAATAGGCCAGACATCTCATGACATCTATTTAATAGATTTTGTAGAGGGAAATTCACATGTTCTTAACTGATAAAAACTTTTTATCTTGCGGCCTATTAATCTATCAACGGTGGCCCTACTGTAGTAATATTTTGAATACTATTTGAATAGACCTTTTAAATTATGCATGTCAATGCACTGCAATCAGGAGCACTGGGAAACCTGAAAAACAGTGTCAGTACAGAGTATTGATCTATAGACATGTTTTCATGACAACTCACTGTATCTAATCAATATATCACTGTATACTTTGGGTTCTGCTTTTATTGTCTTCCTGGAGAATATCTATACTGCACGCACTTTTCTTTTGCACTCTACTACCAAGCTCATGGCACATAATTTCATTCAGGTCATAATCACAAGACTCATGAGATTGCAGTATGGTTTTTCTTAATAGGTTCATTTGTGCATGCATTAAGGGTTCATTATTCCAAGCCCATTTTGATCATCTAGCAAGTTTAGTTGCTTTTAGCTAATTGATCTGATCAGTAATTTCTTGAGAGAAACCAGGATATCAACTTCATCAACACAGATACTGCAGTACCATGTTCCAGACCCCCACAATACTTTGTATAAATAATGCATCCTGTTTCCTGGTTTAAATACACCTCATCATAGTTTTATCATGTGTCCTCTGGTCTGTTTTTCATTGTTAGTTATGAAGCAATCCATTAGGATCCCTTTGTCAATAATTCAATAATTTCAATGATTTTGAAATCTTGTATTGGGAACTTTTGTAGTTTTCTTTATTCAGGACTAGAAAGATTCTGTCATTTTACCCTGTCAGAATAAGACAATTCTTTAAACCCCGGAATCTATTTGATCACTCTTCTTAGAACAGTTTGCAAAACAGCAGTATCTTTCTTGGTGAATGAAATTGCAAACAGTTATACAGTTCCCTGTTTTGTGCCTACTTACAGGTATGTGTATTTTGATAATTCCACTCTGTATGATGCAGAACCTGTGCAGTTAAATAAAATCCCATAAACGTGGTATCATATCATAATCGTTTCAATTAATTGAGTGTAGCTGTCAATTAAGAAAAGTCTGAAATTTCTTACATTTTTGATTCAGAGACAGACTTGAGTGTGTCCTAATATTTCACACACCATAGAAGGTTGCTCTTGGAAAAATGTAGAAAAATAACCAAACCATGTTGTTTATGTAGATAATCTAAAAAGAAGACAACAATATTGCCTGGAACAAAATAATAAGAGTGTACAATTATATTTGTGCAGATACTGCATAAGGAGTAGTCACACATCAGTTGCATGAATAGAGTTGTAATAATAAAATGTAATTGCTTAGCAAGATTTAACAATGTGTAAAATTTCAGTGAGTTACATTAGGGCATTTTAACAGTCTTCAAATCATCTGCTTAAGACCAGAAACAAAAGTGGTCCAATTAAGTGAAGAATTAGATCAATGAACTAAGTCAGAGCTCAGGTAGAAGGAAAATAACAACTCCTATAATGTTTTCAAGGTACAATGATCGGTCTATGAGAAGTAAATGTGTAAAATGTTCATTACAGATTTTCATTGTTTGTACTTTCAGATATCTACAGTATCCAAAAAAATGTTACAATTGCATAATTTAAATGGAATGAGAATGTTAATACAAAAAATACTGCAGCGCATTAAGGAGCTTAGAAGTTCACAGTTAACTACTTATCTGGATGTCTTCGAACAAATCAGTCTCTGTAGCTATGTTGAAATAGAAGGCATATCATATTTATTTTGTATTTCTTTCATAAATGCAGCTCCCTTTTTGCATTAACTGTTACATTTTGTGCTTGGAAGTGCTTAGAATTTTATTTCATTCATTTATTTGTTTCACTTTGTTCTTTATCTGTGTAGTCACTCCCTGTAGTTGTATAAAATAAGAGATCACAGATTTGTGAGGCAGGATGTACAGTACTGTACTATACCACCAAAATGTCATTAGTATCTGCAGACCAAGATCTTCATATCCATTTTTTGGAAACAAAAACGGTACAGAGTGTTGTGGTCACTCACTTGTAAAGGAAAGACTGAAACATTTCAATCTGCATTTCATTTAAAGAACAGAATACAGACAACTTTAGTTAAGAATAATATATTATCTGGCTGTGGATTCTAGTTCCCTGGCCATGTTTTGCTTGACCTGATTTGCTCGGCCTGAGGATGTGTTGATCACTGACACTGTTCTCTGCTAGTCAGAGTCTTACCCGCGCATAGCATGTAAGTTATTTCACTTGGTCATTGTACTCCTGCCACTACACCTAATTGTACGAGAGTGCCTTAGTCATCATTGTTGGTCTCTCTCTTGTTTATTATATATACAAGAATGTTACTCTTTATTAAAGTTCTAAAATTCTTAGCCTTCATGAAACAGTTTGGCTTTAAATAGAGGAAAACCTTTTAAGTAAGGGATTTATCTCAGACAGCAAAAATAAAGGGGTTTAAGTTGTATTTAATACATAATTATCAGGTTGTGTAAGTCAAGTACTATACTTGATTTGGTAAGAAAAAGGCAGAGTGGACCTTCTGTAAAATGTTATCTTTTTAGTTAATAGCAGCTACCTTTATCAGAGAATTCTGAGTAATAGGGTGTCACAATACTGCTGCAGTTTAGATTGTTTTCAATTTTGACTGGTTTTGTATTAAAAGAATAAAACAAATCTAAAATGTCCCTGCAGCCTGCACTGCCTCTTGTGATCCGCAGGCCTGTGATCAGATGCAAACAGCTGAGGCCTGGAGCTGGTCCTCTCTGTCTCAGCTTGATACCAACAGATGTCCCCATGGTGCCAAACAGCACATCAATCCTGGTGCTTTCATTGCCATTCTCCCTAGGGGTTCAGACATGGCGATGACTGTCGTTATATCAATTCAGA